TCAGCATGGGGGTGAGTAGAAAATGAAGGCTAAACATGTTTTGGGTGTACTATTCCTTTAAGGCCTCTTCTTGTTTATCTTGATTGCTGTGTTGCTTCTGAATTTCAGTTTCTTCGCCAATACGAAAGTATAGTGAATAAAATCAAAACTAGCACACACCCACACCAGAGGCATAGCCAGAAATGTTTAATTGGGGTGGCCGAAAGCAGATAGGTGCCAGATCTTAGGGTCAGACCACAATTTAATTCAATTCAGTTTATTTCTATAGCGCCAATTCAAAATTTTCTTTTTGTTTACCCTCATGTACACAAAATGACAAAAAAATATCTGTCTAAGTCTCAGTCTAAATTTTTGCTTGGTTGGTTTTTGTCAGTGGATCAACCACCCAGACTTCTCATGTCTTATGGCTCTAATCTACTCTCCATACCCAGAATCAAACATGGAGAAGAAGCTTTTAGTTCTAATGTTCTACTTATCTGGAAGACAACTGTAAGACCGACAGACAGACAGACAGACAGACAAGACAGACAGACAGACAGACAGACAGACAGACAGACAGACAGACAGACAGTTGTTTTTACATGTGTGTATCTGAACATGATTAAAGGTTAAAAAAAAAATACTTTTTGTTCCTTGTCATATAAATGAACTGATCTGATTCTAAGTTCTAAGATCAGGTTTCTGTTGTTTTAGGTAAAAGCTTCAGAGAAGAGCAGTGTGAGAAGTACAATAGTCCCAATTACCTGGACTACAGTGGGAAGATGAAACAATGGATCCCAAAGTACGCTGGAGTTTCCCCCAGAGACCGCTGTAAGCTGTTCTGCAGAGCAAGGGGCAGCAGTGAATTTAAGGTGTTTGAATCAAAGGTACAGTATCTGCACACAACAGCTCAACACAATCAATTATAGATAGGGTTGAATCTATGGTGAGGAGTAGAACAATTGTGCACACATTTCTTTTTTCTCTTTATTTTGCTGGCATATATTATTTTAGAAGAAGGGTTTATTTTACACGATAGATCTATTAAGGTAATTTTGAATCAAAACGATTTGTCATGGTTTTATCCAAAGATCTGACCCACATGCAGAAAACCAAACAGAGAGACCAAGGAAAGGTTTAACAGGTTTATTGTGAGTAGGTAGCGAGGAGTCAAGTGCTGCTCTGAACACTGTCGAACCGGGACTGAGAAGTGAAGGGGAAGATTCTGAGGTTAGTTCAGGCTCAGTGGGAAATTTGTGTCTCTGATTTGAAAAAGGGAATAAAGGCAACAGGACTCCTGTTTCCAGAAAAAGGTGTCTTTTGTTGAATCCAGTCGGTGTGGGTTGTTCCAGTAATAGACTTGATCGTTGGAGGGCGGACAGGGTTTTACCAGGTTGAGGTGACAACGGACGAGCTGACTGCCACTTAGATTTCCTGCGGTAATTGAACGGTTTCTTGTGGAGATGAATCCCCTGCTCATTGAGAAGCCCAAACAATCCTTGGAGAAAAGTTTATCCAAACCACCAGTTTGAATCCTCAGCTCAGTTTGGTGCTCAGAGAATCCTTCCAGGGGGAGAAGGTCCAAAACATCCAGTTTGCAGGATGACTTCCTGCCGAGAGGCAAAGACAAAAAAAAAGGTTAAGACTCAGGTGACAAAAATTCAGTTTGACTCAGCAAAACTCAGCTTGGCTAGAGTACCCAAAACTGGCAAACACTCTGGCGTCGAGGTAGTGGCAGTCAGCAGCTTAAGAGTCCTCCGGTAATGAGGCAACCATCCGCAGGTGTGTGAGGAGGCCAATGAACAGCAGGCGCCACCTGGTGGCGGAGGGAAAACAAACAAAAGCACAACCCACACAAACCGGATTCCTAACACTATTTGTGCTTTGTAAGTGAATTTGAAGTTGCAGACAGAGTTACGTTCTAAGTTTTGTAATTGTAGAATAAAAAAAACTGTGTACAAGTAATTTATTTTGTCCAAATGCACTAATTCTGTTCTATAAATTGCACATAAAAAGTCTCTTACCTTCTCAGTTTTGCTCCAAGTGGTCCAGAACTTTTGTTGCCAAAGTATTTGTGCATTTTAACTTTCGTGTTTTGTAACTGAAAGATTTTTTTTTAAATCTGTCACAATCACAACAAAAAAGTTACACCTCTTCAAATTCTTGAGTACAACTACACAAATGTTGTTCTGTGAGTTGCACATCAAAAATGTCCTCCATTCACTTTTGCTCATTTATCTAAAACAAATGGTGCAAAACAAATTCGAACATGAGTATTAAAATCCTCACAATTTAAAAAAAATATTTTTTACCTTAACATAAATAAAAACCGATAAACACAACTCCACAAATCTGCGACTCTGAGTCACAAATTCAACTTTTCAAGTTACACCTTCATTTTTACTTTTGCTCCAAATGTCACACCGTTAAAAGATATGTGACTTGTGGATAGTGCCCTTGGTCATATATTACACTAAAAAAAAGACTCTTAACAAAGCCATTACTCTAATAGAAATGGTGTCTTTGAAAGAAGTGATATTTGGATTAATAAAAACTAATTAATTCTGCTCTCATTTATAAACACTGATGTTATAATCAGCTTCAAACACAATCCAATGATGGCATTTGGGAGATAAATATTTCTTTCTGTATCATTGCAAAAACATAAATTGCTGAATGAACTAAGAAATGGACACTTTTATCTGAGGTGTATTTTTTTATTATAACTTTAATGATGATACCTATGCAACTGGTTAACGTGTCCCAGCAGGTGATTGACGGGACAACCTGCGGCCCCGACACCACATCAGTGTGCGTTCAGGGCCAGTGTGTGAAAGCAGGCTGCGACCAGGTGATCGGATCTAACAAGAGGGTGGATAAGTGTGGAGAGTGTGGAGGAAATGGGCTCAACTGCAGAAAGATAACAGGCTCCTACAACAAAGCAATGTAAGACTACAACTGCTTACCGTCACATTAAATCCACCTTCACTAAAAGTAAAATCACAAACCACCTGAATCTGTTAAACTCGTACTGAGGTTTTGAACCGAAAGAAGCAGCTATTTCCTTCAGAGATTTGTTGTTGATAAAATGCATAGTGGTTGTTTATTTACCGTGTTTGTTTCATTTAGAAATAAAATTTAAAGTCTTAGG